AGATAGTAATCAGAAGTGAAATCAAATGCATTAGGTTTAGTTGAAGTAGAAAGCTGGGTGCAGTGGCCTGCGATCCCAGCACTTTGGGAGGCTGTGAGGCAGGAGAATCGCTTGAGGCCAGGAGTTTAAGACCAGCCTGGGCAATATAGCAAGGCTCCATCTCCACCAAAAAAAATTTTTCTAAATATGTTAGCCAAGTGTAGTGGTGCAAGCCTGTAGTCCCAGTCACTTGAGAAGCTGAGGCAGGAGGATCACTTGAGCTTAGAGACTGAGGCTGCAGTGAGCTATGATCATACCACTGTACTCCAGTCTGGGCAGCAGAGTGAGACCCTTTCTCTTAAAAAAATAATAATAATAGAAGATGCCATGTCTGTGAATTCAGGGGATGCACTGAGAGAAACAGACAAAATAAGAAGGAGGAAGGAGCAAAAGGGGTATGTTCTTGTGGCAACAGAGTGAAAAGAAGCAAGAGCTCACCTGGAGCTTGCCCAAGTGGAACAGAGTGTCCAGTGGGACTGAATTGCAGGGACCATGTCCAGTGTCCCAGTTATAGCACCATCTCCCCATAGTAACAACATGAAGGCTATGGCGTAAACAACAATTAGGCACAAAGGAGGAGCTGAGGACGGAGGCTCAGATCAGGAGAGAGATAGACTTGGGTTGTCAACAAAAGACCCATATTCACGACTGCCCTGATGATGGCACCCGTGAGTCCTGGATCTTCAAGAATAGCCTTGGCTGTATGTAACCTTATACTTTTCTATAAAAATGATTTGTGAAATAGCTAATTAATTGTATTTAAATTGTATAACTTGGTGAGGTGTATTATATAAATAAATTTGCAAATTTGGCAAATTTGGGGTTTAAGAATCAGTCACTAGAACCATCTTTGCCATTATGCTAATAATTGAAGAACTATACTAAATGTGAGTATTGAAAATATGTTTTATGAACAACATAGAAAAAATAATTCTATTCACCTCGATTTAATCTTCAGCAAAAATCAATCACCAGAGTCTCTATTGCCACCCACCCCCATAAACACACATTCACTTGCTGTATTAATTTTCACTGCCATGGTAACAGATTCCCATGGAGTTAGTGGCTCAAAACAACACACATTTATTATCTTACTGTTCTCTATTTCAAAAATCGAACTCAGCTTTCGACGTGCTAAAATCAAAGTGTTGACAGCACTGTTTCCTCTTGGAGGTCCTGGGGGAGAATTTGGTTTCTCACCTTTCCCAGCCCCTGGGAGCTGCTGCAGCCATTGGCCTGCTCCCCATTCCATCTTCAAAGTCAGCAATGTCATCATTCTTACCTCAGCCTTTATCACATTTCCTTCTCCAGCACTGACTGAGCCTGCTGCCTCCCTCTTCCACGTTTAAAGACTCTGTGTTTGCATTGGGCCCACCTGAATAATTTGGCATATTCGCCCTACTTTAAGGCCAGCTGATTAGCAACCTTAACTCTACTTGCAACTTTAATTGCCTTTGCCATGTAACACAGCCTATTCACATGTTCGTGGTGTTAGGACATGGACATCTTTGTGGGCCATTATTCTACCTACCACACTTGCTTATAATTAAACTAAAGGAAACAGAGAGAGAGAGACAGAGACAGAAAGAGAGAGAGAGAGAGAGAAGGGGCAGAGAGGAGGGGAGGGGAGGGGAAAGAAGAGAAAAGAGAGATTCCATGTATTATCTCTGTAAAACTCCGAGACCAAAACTAAAGATTGGTGTGTATTCTGCTGAAGTCATGAGTATTTAAATTTGCCAAACAATCGAGTTTCCAGGCTGTACTCCAAGCCTCAGAGAACACACTGATGTAAGGATAGTGTATGTTTAAGACTATGCCTTAACTAGTAGGTTGAAGATGTAAACACCCCATAACATTCTGGATCATCTTTTTATAGCAACAATAACAACAATTAACATTTACTGAGCACCTACAATGTGCCAAAGTGCTAAGTGTTCTCTGTATGCATTTGCTACACAGTCACTCATTTTACAAATGAGGAACGTGAGGTTGAGAGGTCTCACCAAGATCGCATACATAGTTAATGTCAGAGCCAGATTCAAACCCAGGATCATGGAACTCCAGACCCTGCACTTTTAACCATCATGCAAAACTGCCTCTTCCTTTTTTGTTTTTTACCTTCATACACTTAGCAAGAATTCATTCCCTAAACGGCTCGTGATCACAGGGTTAAAAAAAAAAGGGACAACTAGATGGTATAATTCTCTCCTTCCTGCCAATTTTGGCCACTCTCCTCTGACCTCTCCTATAATTCTGGGAGAGAACAAATGAAAGAAGGAAAGAGCCAGGTCCACAGGGGAAATGAGGAAGACAGAGAGACAGAAGGGACAAATGGAAGTGAGACCTAACCACAGGCATTTGGGAATGACTTTCGCCTGCTCAGAAAAACAAGACCAATTCAAGCTTCCTAGGAAAGAATTATAAGATAAATTTACTGTGCTCCACCCTCCTTAAGCCCCAGTTATTAGAACACAAAGTAATGTATGGCATGCTCTGGTAACTTCCTCAGACTGGAAATAGTATCTATCCCAAAATATAAATAGCTTTAGCCGGGCTCGGTGGCTCAGCCTATAATCCCGCGCCTTTGGGAGGCTGAGGTGAGTGGAATGCCTGAGCCCGCGGGTTCGAGACCCGCCTGGGCAGCGAGACCTCATCTCTACAATAAATCAAAAAATCAGCTGGGCGTTGGTAGTGCATGCCTGTAATTCCGGCTACTCGGAAGGCTGAGGCGGAAGGATCACCGGAGCCCAGCAGGTCGAGGCTGCGGTGGCCGGGAGCGGCCGCTGCACTCCAGTCTGGGTGACAGAATGAGACTCCGACTCGAAAAAAATAAAAAATAAAAAAATACAAATAGCTTTAAACAGATAACATAAAACAAATAAGAATCAAATATATCAAAACAATGAAATTGAGAGTTATAATTAGGATATAATTTATATAGAAAAGTGAGACTTTAAAGACACAAAGGATATTAAAATAAATTCCATAGGTTTAGAACCTTTTATAAAAAATATATAACTTTTCAGTCACCTGTATCCAAAGTCAGAACATAGAGAGGTGTAGGTTATTTCACCTAATCAAAATAGAGTCTTCTAACACATACACACACACACACACACACACACACACACACACACACACACTTTAATAATAGTACTTGAGCACTTTTGATTTGGTAATGCATAGATTATCTGCTTTCATTCACACAATAACCCAATCAATCAGGGCCGAATTTTAATCTCAGCTCACAGTTGTGGAAATTGAAGACTCGGGGGTTGGGTAGCAGATGGCAGAGTTGGGATTTGAACATAAAGCAGGAACATTTGCCAGCATAAATCCAGATTGCCCTTGACATGGATTGTGTTTATAAAACGTTAACTCCTGCAGTTACGGTTTCCATTTAAATGCCTCTGGAGACAGAAGTTTGTATTTTAGCCTAGAATTTTTAATCGAGCCCTTGTGACTTCTTGACAATATTATTTGGCTCCTCTCTTCAGACCTGTGGGATCATGACTGCAGAGTAAACTAGGGGTGTCACGAACACCCTCCTTCTCTACTTTCATCTGAGAACAGCAGTCTACAGATCACAAAGCTCATGTATGTAAAATACAGACCTATTACATGGCTGTATATGTACATTACATGCAGAGTACATTGATCATGTATGTACATTGCCTGCAGATTACATAGCTTAAGTATATGTGTTACATAAAAATTACATGGATCATGTATGTACAAGGGGGACCCCAAGAAAACAGAATTTATTTATTAAAAATTGTGTGTTTATTCTTACATGTTTAAACTTCGGTCACCTTCAAAGTACTCTCCGTTTGATGGGATACACCTATCGAAACAGTTACCACCGGGCTCAGTGGCTCAGCCTGTAATCCCGCGCTTTGGGAGGCCAAGGTGAGTGAATTGCCTGAGCCCGCGGGTTCGAGACCCGCCTGGGCAACTTGGCAAGATCTCATCTCTACAATAAGTCAAAAAAAAAAAAATTAGCCAGGCGTGGTAGCGTGCACCTGTAGTTCCAGCTACTTGGAAGGCTGAGGCAGAAGGATTGCTGGAGCACAGCAGGTCGAGTCAGTGGCCAGGAGAGGCCACTGAACGCCAGTCTGGGTGACAGAGTGAGACTCCAACTCAAAAAAAAAACACTGTTTCCACCACTCAAAACAGTTTTTGAGCTCATCAATTTTGATGCCTTTTAGCACTTCTGCCTTTCACCTCTTCCACATTAGCAAAACGTTTCCCTGTGAGGACTTTTATCATCTGAGGAAACAAAAAAGTCACTCAGGGAAAGATCTAGTAAATAAGGAGAGTGGAGCATGGGGTCATGCTGTTTGGGGTCAAAAATTGCTGCGCACTCAGCACAGTATGGGCAGGTGTGTCGTCATGATGGAAGAGCCAGTCACTTGTTTGCCACAATTTGTGATGTTTCTTCCACAAAACATGATGCAATCTTCTGAAAAACTTCCACATAAAAGTCAATGGGCTCCTAGAACACTTACCTAGCAGAAGAAGCCTGTACTACCAGGGTCCACCCTCCAAAGGATAATTCCAGATTTTTGGGGGTACCCCCTGGTACAGTACATACCAATTACATAGCTAGTGTATGTAATAACATAACATAAGTTACAGAGCTTATGTATGTACATTAATGTATTCAATCCCCCACAATAACCCTGTAAATTAGGGGGAAGAGTATTAGTATTCTCATTTTCATGATAAGAACACTGAGACCAGAGAGGTTAAGGTTGCCTTGAGTTAACAGCAGAGCAGACACTTTAACCCCCAGCCCAGAATCCTTTCTGCTATTCTGAACTGCAACAAAGATACAGAAAAGGTCATCATCACCAAGGTGATTTTTTACAATAAAAAGAATTATTTGACACTGGAAGAATAGAGCTTTGAAAATCAAGCATCTCAAACCAAAAGAAAAGAGAGACGGGAAAAGAATATACCTGTTTCCCAGGCTAAACGTCAAGTTGTGACTAGAAATTCATAAGCAGTAAGGCAGGTAAAGAGAACAGCATCCACAAATCTAGAAGAGAGAAACCTGGAAGTAAATATGGGAAGACACTGTGAACACATGTGAAGTCTCTGCAGGTGCATGGATTCAATATGAACCAGAGAGTACATAGAGGCTGGGCTCTAGGGCACCTCTGCATTGACTCACTGGACAACTGTAGACAAGTCTTTCGCCCCTCACCACTTTAATTTTTTTGACCTGTAAGAGTCCCTCCTAGTAGTCACTTGTCCATAAAACAAGCTGAGAGCCTTGAACAAAAGAATACTTTGGCAAGACGTATGATTACCCCACTTCCTGTCTCAAAACATACTGAATAGGGCACGTATCAAACATGCAGTTTAAGACAGTATAACAAATACTGTGTGTATCATATGATCCTGCTGAACAGACGAACACAGCAAGTATTCATCTCTTTTCTGGATGGGGCAGTAGCCTCCTAGCTGTCCTTACCCTTCACTCTCGATCATTCTCCACAGGAGAGCAAGAGTGACCTTTTTGAGCTACCAATATGATCGTGGCATGGCACCTCCTGCTTAAAACCCTTGTTCTCCCATGTCTCTTACACTGGAGATCAAGGTACTTAGCAGATCTGAAAAGCCCGGAACGACCTGGTGTCCTCGTGCAGCACGAGCATCCTCTCAGCCCTCTTTCCTTCTGTCCTCTCTGCTCCACTCAGGGTGGGTATGCAAGATATTTGTTGAGTGAATGAGTGGATAACTAAATGAATGAAAAGCCAAACAATGTGTGTGTGTGTGTGTGTGTGTGTGTGTGTGTGTGTGTGTGTGTGTGTGTGTCTATGTGAACAATGTATTTAGGTTTGTTTTGGAATAAGAAGTAACATTATGGTGACCCAACCAAACACGTGGTTGAAATTCAAGCACCAACAGCTATCCAGAGGGGAAGAACCCTGTGGGGCAAGGACCTTCCCACAGCTCCCCATACACTGGCCCTGCTCCGACATGAACCACAAGGGCAAATGTCAGCAAAGTGCTTAAGATGATGCCTCAGCAAACCAAATACCACAGTTACTCCCAACGTCTCCTTATATGGCAAAAGAGAGCAACGCCCAGTGAGCATGAAAGTGAACACACCGTTCATTCAAGGATTATTAATGTCGGCAGTCTTTGCATAAGGGATTTAATTAATCACCTATCAAGTTCATCGGATTAAGATGATAATAAGAAGAAAAAGAAGAGTGAAGTCATTTCAGCCTTGCAGTAGCACTCCCCACTCATTAGGAGAGATCTGTTTTTCTTCTGCCACCTTAACTGAACGAAATCAACCCAATAGGCATGGTGACATGCCACAGGCTGCGCAAAAGGACTGAACGATATTTCTAAAGCCAGGCTTGAGTCAGAGTGTCCTGGCACTGCTTTCAAAGAAGTTGTCTAGCTGAAACATCACTTACCTCTTCAGAAAGGTTTGGTGTCAGCTGGAAAAGGAAGTTGAAAGAGGTGGGCCTCCTCTGAAAGCGATTGTGATAAATGAGGTTCAACTCCCAGTATCATGGGATGGGCTGACCCATTCTTCCTAGGCTTATACCAAGATAGTGAATGACATTTATGCCACTCAAATTATGATGACTTCATCGCCACCAGGTGAAATGATCTTGACAATCAGGAGAAAGAGACTTTCTCTGTTGGTCGAGATGCCAAGTTGCTTTGTCCCTCCGAACACTGGCAACTATGAATTGAAAGAATAAATGGGTAAAGATTAGTATCTACTCCTAAGCACCAGGACAGACCCTCACTGTATTACAAGGGGCCTGCCTAAGGGTTTTTTGCCCCCCCATATGTTCCTTTGAAAAGTTAATAAAACTCCTTTTCAGAAAGGCTAGCATATGACCATGCAGACAAAATCTAGCAGACAGTTTTAGACATTGTACTAACTTCCTGAAATCTATCCATGAATTCCAAGTTTAAAATCACAGCTTAAATTGAAGAACTGCGTCGATTTTTCAGTTGGGAAAATTTTCCCAATGGATAAGATGCAACAAGAGTTTAAGCATCCATGGTTAAGTAAGGTTGATGTAAGACATTTCATTACTGCATAAACAGCAAGAAACATATGGCATTTTCTGTCAAGCAGTCTTGCCAAAAAAGTCAAATCTGAACCTAATAAACCTTTAGAACTAATTACTAGCTTACAGGAAATACAGAGGGACATGTTTTTAAAAATAACACACCATCAGCAAAATCCAGAACTTGGGAAATTCTCCAGGATTGATTCTTTCTGATTCCGTTACCTGGGGTCTCTTGCTCCTTCCCAGCTTTGGGAGTCCCTCAAGTATCAATCTCTGGCCCTCTAGATCCAGCCTTTGAAGAGTTTATTGTCTTGAAATATATTTGCTCACGATCATATTTCTTTTTACCTCATTTTCTATCTCACTATGTCTATTCTGCACATTCCCCTTCTGCTTTATACTCCTCCCAAGACCAAGTTTAACAAACATGGGGTCTGACATAAGGTGGAAATACTGGGGAATTGAAGATGAGTTGGCCTTGGCTTTGGCCTTTGAGCTTTCTCACAACTAAACAATGAAATAAGCAGGCAGTTAGTTATCATGCAGTAGGTAAAACCATGTCTTTCATTTGTGTGTGTCCAAATCACTTAGAACTGTAGTAATACAGACCAGAACTTTAATAAATACTTATTGACCTGCATTCTGTAACTACAGACCCTATTTCATTGAAATCTGCTTTTTTTTTTCTTTATTCTGATATTTTTGTCTCTTCAAATTTTCTAACTCTTCTTTAAAGGTCCCAAATGCTCTTCACTGGTGATCAGTTACAAGATCCTGTTCACCTCTATGTCCTTTTCTAATGCTTTCCTGTGTTTAAAAATCAATTTTTTTCCTTTCTAAATGTTTTTATCATCTACCTACAATCAATTTTATTAAGCTCTTCCTGTCCTCAAAAATCAAATAAATTTCATATAAAGAAAATATAAACCCAGAAGTAATCTGACAGGTACGCAGGTCAATGAAACATCCTAATTAAGAAATCTTAGCCAGGCTTGGTGGCTCAGCCTGTAATCCTGCACTTTGGGAGGCTGAGATGAGTGAATTACCTGAGCCCGTGGGTTCAAGACCCACCTGGGCAACTTGGCGAGACCTCATCTCTACAATAAATCAAAAATTAGCTGAGTGTGGTAGCATGCCTCTGTAGTTCCAGCTACTTGGAAGGCTGAGGCGGAAGGATCACTGAAGCCCAGCAGGTTGAGGCTGCGGTGGCCAGGAGCAGGCACTGCACTCCAGTCTGGGTGACAGAGTGAGACTCTAACTCAAAAAAAAAAAAAAAGAAAGAAAGAAATCTTGATAGGGGAAAGACACTTATACTGCATGTCCTTTTGTAATGTCTGGATTTGTATTGCAAGAATATATTACTTCTTCAATTAAAAGACAATTTTAAACAATAAAAATAATAAAATTGTCTTCATTTTAAAAAAATCACATTAAGAAAGATTTCCACCATGGTTGTCTCATAACCCATCATTTGAGAAGACTTCCTCCTGCAATCTTGAAACCTCTTTTGTCTGTGTGTGTGTATTTTAAATTATTATCCCTTGAATGTCAGTCACTATATACAGACACTATTTGGAAGAGCCTTCAGGTTAATCCTTGTTTTTCTCCTCGTTTGAAATACTGCATTGAATTATTTATAACTCAAAACGTCTACCTGTTGGACCCTTTTTCCTGGACAAAAAGAAATATGAAAAAAAAAGTTTGTTTTCTTTTTATTTGGCCACAGTTTGATACATGTTACATTTTTATAGAATTTGTAAACTTCGACCACATTCTTTTAAGTTTTACATTTTTAAGAAGAGTAAAATGACCTATAAATGCCAATAAATTCGGAAACACAGAACTGGAAAGAAGGTCACTTATGGTCATTCTACAAGTGCACTTCTAAAAGGTCCGGTCTGGTGTCACTGCAGAAGCCGTGTTTTATTTCTATAAAGGTCTAATCTTTTTATATAATCCTCCAGGATAATGACAGCGATTTTGCCTAAAGACCTGCTACTCATCCGTTCCGAAATGTCATGCATAGTAAAAAATATATTTGGGAGTCATTTTAGCCATCCTTCCTTCACTATAAAGAAGAGATGCCTATAAAACACTTCAGTGATGGAATGGTTGTCTTTAAAAGGCACAAAGAGAATATGCCCCCAGTGAATGATGCTACCTACTGTCAAGGTATCCCTCTGACCCCGGATAAACCTGCATGAAACCTCTTTCATGCACTCATCACCCAACTTCTCCTACAAGATACTCACTCCCTTCTCATGACGGCATCTCAGTTCATCAGGAGAATGAAGTAAATGTGAAAACTCAAAACTTACAAACTATTTTAGCCAGAAAATCACACAACGAATCATTTGATTCTGAACAACCTGTACTCCTCAGAAATACAAAAAAAGAAAATCATGAAACCATTCACAGGTAAAAATGCTCATTAGCCAAGGATGATTAAATGTTAGCCATCTACCGAGAAAGCCGTGGAAAATTTCATCCTTGAGTTCTGTAAAAATCATTCAAAAATAAGCTCTACCATCTGCTGTTGGCCTACCTGAAAGCAGAAATCATCCGCAAATGACTTGTTGTTGAACTTCTTTCCAGTTCTGTGGTTCCACAAATATTGGCAATTACAGGTCATTTTACTCTTTTTTTTTTTTTTTTTTTTTTTTGAGTTGGAGTCTTACTTCATCCACTTCATTGCCCAGACTGGAGTGCAGCGGCCGATCCCGGCCACTGCAGCCTCGACCTTCTGGGCTCCGGTGATCCTTCCGCCTCAACCTTCCAAGTAGCTGAAACTACAGGCATGTGCTACCATGCCCAGCTAATTTTTTGATTTATTGTAGAGATGAGGTCTCGCCAAGTTGCCCAGGCTGGTCTCGAACCCATGGGCTCAGGCAATCCTCTCACCTCAGCCTCCCAAAGTGCTGGGATTACAGGCTGAGCCACCGTGCCTGGCCCTATTTTACTCTTCTTAAGAATGTAAAATTTAAAAGAATATGATGAAAGTTTTAAAATTCTATTTTTGAAGAGGAACTAAAGTAAATCCATTTTTGTTTCTTATTTGAAAATTGATATTTTTAAGTTTTTCTAAAATATAATAAATTATATGAGTTCATTTTTCTTTTCTTTTTTTTTTTTTGGAGTTGGAGTCTCACTCTGTCACCCAGGCTGGAGTGCAATGGCACACTCACAGCCACTCCAGCATCAACCTGCTGGGCTCTAGCAATCCTTCTGCCTCAGCCTTCCAAGTAGACAAAACTACAGGTACGTGCCACCACACCCGGCTAATTTTTTTATTTACTGTAGAGACAAGGTCTTGCCAGGTTGCCTGGATTGGTCTCAAACCCACATGCTCAGGCAATCCACTCGCTTTGGCCTCCCAAAGTGCTGGGATTGCATATTGAGCCACCGAGCCCAGCCATGAGCTTACTTTTTTAACATAATTCTAGCCATCCTTGTGTCTTCCAATACACACACAGAGAGTATCTGAAGTGATATTCACTGAATGTCACCAATGGGTCTGTCTGTATGGTGGAACTATAGAATTTTAAAATCTTTTTTCTTGTACTTTTATGTATTACTTGAGTTGTGTATAATAAGCATGTATCATTTTTAGGCCCCGCAAAAGGCATCATTTCTTTTAAAACCCAGCGGAACTCCACACATTAGAAGTTCAAAGAAAATCAGCATATGATTGTACTAGAAGTAATTGTTTCTCCCCAGGCCTCTCCCACCTCACCACCAGTTTTTTCCTGCCCTGGTCCTGCTATGCTACAAGAAATATTTCCTCAAGGTCAACCCCTATAAATCAAAACTCCCACACACTGGCATAAAATGAGACATTGGTCAAATTTATAGGGCTAAGTCACTGCCACTCAGACACGCCTTAAAAGAGCAGAGAACCATCACTTCTGATGTAGATTCTCATGAGAGAAAGGGAGGGTGTCTCAGCCCTGTACTTATTATGATACTGTCTTATTTTACAAGGCTGGTCTAGGAACCAGAGCCGACCACAACCTTGACCGGGAACCGTCCATGTCCATCAGAACACTGCTCACCATTACACGTCCAAACAAGTTTCTAATGGCTCCCTCATATGCTCTGTTTTTTGTTTTGTTTTTTTTTTTAATCCCAACTCCCTTTTGTCTTTCTCTCATGTCTGAGATGTAAGTAACCATAGATACTCCTTCTAATCACTCCTCAAGCATCCTTTCTCTTTGGTTACATTTTTTTTCAGCTTATGCATAGTGAGATGAGGAAAATCCAGGGGATCTTCCCTCACATGGTTTTGCTTTAAGGACAAGAGGAGCACAGCTGGTGTGCTTCAGTGGTTACATTTGTAACTGGAAGTGAATTGGACTTTGTGGATAGCTGGTCCACACTGCCACGAGAGACTTTAGCCTACTCTCTGGTCCTATAACTCACAGTCCAAAAAGGAGCGGGAGGTGATGGCACTGGAAGACCTGAGTTAAAGTTCTGATTCTAGAAAACTCATTACAGAGTTCACTCACATTTGCAAAATGCCTACAAGAAGCCAGTCTTTGGTGCTTAAAAGATGGAAGACATAATCTCTGCTTTCAAGAACTTTCCGTCTCAGAGGAGTATGACAGATGCAGGGTAAAGTGGTGCGTGAAAGAACTGGTGGGCTTCATCCCAGGAACAGGAGATGTCTGGGCCTGGCTGGGTGCTCCCAGCTTCCAGGTGGGGCAGGGATGCCATGGTGTGTGCCCCTCTGGAGAATCTTGGTATCCAAAAGAGGCAGGTTCCTCCAAGAAGGAACCCCCCCAACTCATGCAAGAGAATTTAGCAGATGATTGTTCAAGGAGGTAACTCTTGAACTACAAAGGAAACAGGGATTGGTGACTTTTCAGACACAGGAGACTGCACAGACAGTGACACCTACGAATCAGTGTGCTCCATGACATGCAAATCAGCACCACATGATTTGCCTCTGTGAGCCCCTGATCCTTTATCTGCAGAATGGGGACAACACCTCTTACCTGGCTACATTAAGAATTGTTGTGAGGATTAAATAAAGAATATCAAAGAGCTATGTCAACTGATCAGTCCCATTATCATTATGAAAGAGATGTAATGTTCAGCAGGGGTTCCAACCCCCAGGCCACAGATCAGTACCCGTTAGGAACCAAGACACACAGCAGGAGGTGAGCAGCGGGTGAGTGAGCAAAGTTTCATCTGTGTGCACAGTTGCTCCCCATCACTGGCATTACCACCTGTGCTCTGCTTACTGTCAGATCAGCAGCGGAATTACATTCTCATAGGAGCACGAACTCTCTAGTGAACTGCACATACGAGGGATCTAGGTTGCACACTTCTTATGAGACTCTAATACCTGATGATCTGAGGTGCGGTGGTGATGCTAGTGGTGGGGAGCAGTTGCAAATACAGATGAACATTAGCAGTGAGGTTTGACTGCACAGAGAACATAATAAATCAATTGCTTGCAGACTCATATCAGAACCCTATCCATGAGTGGCAAGTGAGTTGATATACTTCAGTTAAGTCAGAACCCAACACTTATTTTAGTCTGCGAGTGGCCTGCCCATTGTTTTATTTACCACTTCCATCCATGCCTCTTTTTTTAATGGTGAATTGTATAATTATCTCATTATATATTGCAATGTAATAATAGAAATAAAGTGCACAGTAAATGTTATGCATTTGGATCATCCCCAAACCATCCCCTACCCTGGTCCATGGAAAAATTGTCTTCCACAAAACTAGTCTCTGATGCCAAAAATGTTGGGGACCACTGTTGAACAGGACTCATCAATATTCAACTCAAGATAACAGTGCTGCCACTAGCCCACAGTTTGTCCTCCTCATACCCCCTTCTTCCCTATAACCCTCAGTCTCCCTCATCTGTCAAATTAGAGTCTCGGAACCAGGAAGGTTGACGGCCCTTCCTACGCTGACATTTTATGTCTAGGTCCTCTTTAAATCCAGCTGCCAGTAACCAGCACGTGGCTCCCGCCCCCAGACTACTTCTTTATTCATGCTTAACCTTTACCTTGGCAGGTGAAGTATAAGATTCATCAAGCACATTTGACAACCCATGGCACATTTCCTGTTTTCCACCATCCCTCTGCAGGTCACAGACACCCAGGACCCAGCCATTGCGGGACTCAACAGGGGACAGGGCCACTCACCACGGCCGCAGTCTTCCCACAGACCAAGAGGAGTCCTGAGCTCAGGCCGGGGTTGTTTGGTTTTGAGGTGTGCTGGGATGAAAGGTGCTCTGAAAGTGGAAGGCTCGGTTATTAATTAATTAATTATAACTATAATTGAAGGTTTGTTCTTAAGAGTGAGTCCTTTGAAATTACTTTCCATCAAACAGCCACTGCCACAGAGGAATCTGATATTCAGAACCTTCTCTATTTCCTCAGCACAAGCAGTTTTATCCCAGGCCCCAGGAGGCTGTTCTGAGCTGACTCCTTCCTCACAAGCCTCCCCCTAATACCACCCACTCTCACTTTAAAGCTGAGGCTTGTTTTTTGGGAGAGAGGGGAAGCAATGCGTCTCTGTGTGTTCATCTGTTTTTTAAAAAGGAAATCTATGTCACACCAAGTAACCCTTTTTGTAGACTTTAATCTGACCCTTTTCAGATAAATGACAATGAAAAAATTCCACGGCGAGATCAGAAGGACACCTGAGACAGAACACCCACCTGCTGTCGTGGGCCACACCTCCCAGTTGCAAGCAGAAGGGAAGAAGCAAACTGTCAGACTGATGTGGCTCTAAACAACAGCAACGTGTGAAGGCCCGGGGGCACTTCTGGATTGACCAAGAGGAAACACATGTTGCACAATGATATGATCTTGTTGGTACAATTGTCAGCGAAGGGAACTCCCACAGCAAAGGGCATAAAACCATCCAAGGCAGTCTGGGGCGGCTCAGTTCGGCTGTGCCAGGGAGTGGAGCAGAGCCCAGCGCTGCCCCAAACACAGATGGGACCATGAACTCCAGCCACAGCTTAAGCCAGACGCACTTGGCCTCCCGCCATGGCACCGGCAGCGGTGGCTGGGCCTGGCCCAGGAGCTTCCCCCGGGCTCCCAGTGTCCATGGTGGCGCAGGAGGTGTTCGCATCTCCCTTTCCTTCACCACGCCAAGTTGCCCACCCTCCGGAGGGTCTTGGGGGTCTGGAAGAGGCAGCTCCCTCCTGGGCGGAAATGGAAAGGCCACCATGCAGAACCTCAATGATCGGTTGGCCTCCTACCTGGACAAGGTGCGCGCCCTGGAGGAGGCCAACGTGAAACTGGAAAATTGCATCCTGAAGTGGCACCAGCAGAGAGATCCTGGCAGTAAGAAGGATTACTCCCAATACGAGGAAAGCATCGGCCATCTACAGGAACAGGTAAGATGCTGGGTGACCCTGGAGCTCGAGATGGGGCCACACAGCCAGGGGACACTCGGAAGGAAAAATCAGCACAGAAGTCAATTTCCAGGAAAATGGCAAAAGTCGTTGTGCACAAAGGTTTTTGCAGAGACTTTCTTATTATTTCTTAAATGTGGACTTGGGCAAGTCTGTTTTGTGTCATTAATCTTCTATACATAAATTATGTAGAAAAAGAATTCAGAAAAGGTGACAGAAGTGCTGTAGGCTATTTTAAAAAATGGGACTGCCTGATTTTTCACACGCCAAAAAAATCTTTAAAATGTGAGACAACCAGCTGCTGTTTGGTATCACTTATGAACCAACGATGCCCTAGTCATGGTAAGTGCCAGCTTTCATGTTACATGCTCTGTGCAGGAGGCATAAGAGAATGTTTGCTTTCTCATTACATCAGGTCTGCTCTACCTCAAAGTCCTGGCAACAGTGTGGTTATCCATCAACAGAAGACTGACTTTTACTATTTTAGAGATTACGCCTGAAAGTTGTCACTCCAGTAGTAGATAAATCATCAGGACACTCCTAGATATTTCTTTTTGAAAGTTGCTAGAAGATAAACTTGCTCACAGTTCTAAGAATGACCTGTTGCTAGAAAAAGAATAATAAAATGAGCACAATTTTTAGGATCTGAGAGTTAAGAGGGGTTGTGAAAATATTCTTAAAAAAAAAAATTTGTCAGGTGTAGTGGCTCACACCTGTACTTCCAACACTCTAGGAGATGGAGGCCAGAGGATTGCCTGAGCCCAGGGGTTCAAGACCAGCCTGGGCAACTTAGCATGACCTTGCCTCTATAATAAATCAAAAGATTAGCCAGATATGGTGGCGCACACCTGTGGTTCCAGCTACTTGGAAGGCTGAGACAGAAGGATCACCTGAGCCCAGCAAGTTGAGACTACAATAGCCGTGAGCATGCTACTGCACTCCAGACTGGGTGACACAGTGACACTCCAACTCAAAAATAATAATAACTTTAAATAAATAAATTTTTAATCAAAAAAGTTAGGATCATACCTTCTGGGACATCTCACAATATTAGCAAGAAGTAGAGGGAATCCAGCCATCTGGTAGGCTATTTTTAAAAGCTAACTTCCCTCTTACATAAAGCAGTCCCAGCAAATTCCCTGTAAGATCATGATTTAACCTACCTAGAAAGGGCATCACAGGTTTCCAATATGTGTACCACATCATTTCACAATACTCAGTCTTTCTTGCTTGAATGTAGGAAAGACCAATCAAGATAATAAAAATCTGTCCTCATAATGAACCCTAATTATTGAATAATCAACCTAATAACTGACTGTGTAATTGCTTTAACTATACAGTGCATGCTTGCCTTTATGAAAAAAAACAAGGTGACTCAACTGTCCTCATCATATTTTTTTGTCTAATAAAGTTGCTTTGGTTTTAGAAAGGAAAGAATAGAAGATTTTTGCAGGTAGAGTGCTGAAAACAAGACTCCCAAGAAAACAAAAATGTGTGGTTAGACCTGGTTAAATAATTTATGCACCAGCCGAAGAGAGAAACAAAGAAAGGGGGAAAGGATGGGGAACGTTTATTGAGCACTTATTATATGCCCAGACATCACATTGGATGTTTAATCAGTGTTGCCCAAGAACTTTCTGCAATGACAGAAAAGTTCTATAACATTCGATTTAATTCTCACAACAAGGAAACTGAAGCTCACAAAACTGAAATAGCTACCAGGGCAGGGTGCAGTTGTTCAAGCTTGTAGTCCCAACACTTTGGGAGGCCAAGGCGAGTGGATTGCCTGAGCAACTTGGTGAGACCTCGGTTCTACAAAAAATTAGCCGGGCGTGGTAGCGCATGCCTGTAGTTCTGGTTACTTGGAAGACTGAGGTGGAAGGATCACCTGATCCTAGCTGGGGTTGCTATGAGCATGCCACTGCACTCCAGCCTGGGTGACAGAGTGGGACTCTAACTCAAAAAAAGAAAAGAAAAAAGAAATAGCCACCAGACACCACCAGCAAGAGGCAGAGGTGGGATGGAACTCAGGTCTGTTTCCAATGACCTTGTAAATTCCCCTACGGCCTGGTGCTGACAAGCCCACCTCATACAAAAGTGACACATTATTAATAAAAATGACATGCTACATCTGCATTATTAATTATGCAACACATATTTAATTCTTACAACTCTGTGAAGCAGGTGTTTTTAATCCCCAATTTATACATAAGGAGACTGGGACTGAGTGGTTGTCCAAGTTATTTGGAACAGAATTGAGAAAAGTAAGTGGGTACAATTATTGGGGGTGGGGAAACTTACCCTCCAGATGGCCCAGGATTCTGGGTTTTGAGATTAAATAGGAAGCTTCTTTGGCTTCAAAGTTCAGTCTTTTCTGGATTTTTACTCCAGATGCTGCATTTCTCTACATTTGAAAAGAAAGCAACTATTTAACATGAGACTGTGTATCATTTGCAGGTGAGAAAACAGAGACCCAAAGAAGTCCCACAGTGACCTGGACTGGTCCTCCCTGGGTCTTGATGAAATGCTCTGAGTAGACACAGCTCTCCCCTACCCTCACTTTAGAGATGTTAAATGTTACTCAAAATCGTTCATAAGAAATGGAGTTCAAAAATCAATCTCATCCTTTTGAAATACAGAATTAGAAATAGTCATTGAGTATTATAAGTACAATTCCTTGAATGATTCTTAATAGCACTATATTTGGCATTTTGGTCTACAGTCAAAATTGTTCCCTCTCGCCGGGCTCGGTGGCTCAGCCTGTAATCCCGCCTGCGCCTTTGGGAGGCTGAGGTGAGTGGATTGCCTGAGCCCGCGGGTTTGAGACCCGCCTGGGCAGTGAGACCTCATCTCTATAATAAATCAAAAAATCAGCCGGGCATGGTAGCACATGCCTGTAATTCCGGCTACTTGGAAGGCTGAGGTGGAAGGGTCGCCGGAGCCCAGCAGGTCGAGGCTGCGGTGGCCGGGAGCAGCCACTGCACTCCAGTCTGGGTGACAGAGTGAGACTCCAACTCAAAAAAAAAAAATTGTTCCCTCTCTGTGGTAGGAGGACAAACACCCTGAAGCAGCCATGCTGCACTAATGTACCAACTCGGTTTTAAGGGAACCAACTCAGGGCCTTGAGGAGAAACCAGGTGATTAATTATAGCATTCAGTATAAAAACTGTACCTCGTATTTTATTTCTCAATTCATCTTAATTCATTTATGACCATAAAAGCTGTCTCAGAAATAGTGACTGTATAATAATACTGTATCAAGTAAGCCCAAGAATTGTTTGTTTGTTTGTTTGTTTGTTTGAGTTGGAGTCTTGCTCTGTCGCCCAGGCTGGAGAGCAGTGGCATTAACACGGTTCGCTGCAGCCTCAACCTCCTTGCCTCAGGTGATCCTTCCAACTCAGCCTCCCAAGTAGCTGAGACCACAGATGCGTGCCACCACACCTGGCTGATTTTTTTTTGTTTTTGGACTAGGTCTCGTGATGTTGCCTAAGCTGGTCTTGAAGTCCTGGGCTCAAGCAGTCCTCCAGCCTTGGCTCCCAAAGTGCTAGGATTACAGGTGTCAGCCACTGCCCCCCAGCCTTGGAAAATTGTTTAAAATGTGCTCTGTATCAAACACATTTCAGAACTCTCACGCATATGCTATGAGAACACTGACTGGGAGAACCACACTTGAGGTGGGCTTTGCAATGGATAGGTTATCAATCTAACTCAGAAAAGCCAAATCAGCCCACAGGGAGTACTTCTGACTTTCCGATTCCATGGTGTATATAGTGCAAGCTTTCTTTGGATGTCAATCAACACCACATAGTATGTGTCAAATACCCAAGTGAGTGAGGCTGACCCCAGGTGTCCCCAGGATTTGGGGGATAAAGCTACTTTTCATTTTGCATGTGCTTAGATAATGCAAAGAAAAAGGGGCCCTGGGGAGGGGGAAGTATTGGTAAGAATGCCCCTAAGCCGCACTGTAGAGAGGAGATAAGGACATACCTGTGACACCCTTTTTGAGAGCCAAGAAGAAGCCATAGTACCATTTGGAATTCCACAAAGGGAAGGAAGAATTGGGCAGGAGTGGCCAGCCCTGCTATCTCCCACTACAAACAGCAAAACTTTGAGGATGCTTCTCAACATAGAAAACCTGGTGGCCAGGCACAGGCTGACATCTGGAATCCCAGCATTTTGGGAGGCCAAGGCAAGAGGATTTCTTGAACTCAGGAGTTCTAGACCAGCCTGGGAAATATAGTGAGAGTTTGTCTCTACCCAAAACATAAATCAAAAAATTAGCCAGCCATAGTGGCCCACACCTGTAGTCACAGCTACACAAGGCACTGAATCAGGAGAGTCACCTGAGCCTAGGAGGTGGGAGCTATGGTAAACCGTGATTGTGCCACCACACTCCAGCCTGGGCAACAGAGTAAGACCCCTGGCTAAAAAAATAAAATAAAATAAAGTCTGGGGATGTATCCAATGCAGACCTAATTACAAAAGTACTAGAAATTTGTATAATTTATATTTTTCTGAATTAATTCAGTTTCAAGTAACTTTTCAGTGTCTATAACATGCCAAGAATATGCTATAACATTAGTTCATTTAATCTCTCCTAAATCTCATAGCTCATTGATGAAGTGACAGTTATTATTGCCATTTTGTGAATGAAGAAACTGAGACTCAGCCAGAGCTCACTCGGTCAAGGAGGGCTGGGGCGGGATCCCAGGCCTTGCTCTTTGAGTTCCAGGCCCAGCATCTATGCCACCTCTGAATCCTGCTATTGTGCATTCATGATACCAAATTCCATGTAATCAGTAGAGCTTTAAATAGGACCAGATTTTTTAAAAGGTGCCTTTGTACTGAGGTATAGCTTTGTCCTGAGAAAATCCATTCTAAATAAAGGAATTAGCTGTATAAATACAATGGGAATGTCACAAGATTCTCTGACACTAACAAAATTACAGAAGTTTAGAGCTAAGACCTCCAAGGTAGCCTGTTTGTAGTACAACCTCCTTCTTTAGCAAGTAATGAAACTGAAGCCCAGGGAGTGAAGTGAACAATTCATGTCCTCAGGGATGGTCAGGAGCAGAGTCAGAACCAAAAAGAAGCTCCCCATTTCTAGGTCAGCACAACACTTGGCACAAAAGTGGTATTATACTTTGGACAGTGAGACCTCTTCCACTACATTTTCCTGAAGGCAGTGACATACATCAAATGTGGGCTATTTATCTGAGAATAACATACTTGCAGGTATTTACAAATCCTAAGTGCGTACGCAACTGTTCAGGCTTTCAACAATATTTTTCTTTTTGAAGTAAAAAATTATATAAACACCCAGGGAAAGTGTTTAGCTTATTAAGCAGCTTCATTTGATGATAAATAATTATTTATGTTAATATTTTAATTGCTACAATTGGAGCATTCTCACCATGGAATAAGTTACAAACACATACACATACCTATAAGTTATGGGCATGACTATAGTCACTTTGGGCAAAATAAAATCATGTTATGTGATGATGATTACAGCATTCGTTTAAAATTAGTTTGTTGGCCGGGCACGGTGGCTCATGCCTATAATCCCAGCACTTTGGGAGGCCAAGTTGAGAGGACTTCCTGAACTCTTGGATTTGAGACCAACCTGGGTAACTTGGCGAGACTGCATCTCTACAATAAATCACAAAAACTAGCCGGACATGGTGGCGCACGTCTGTAGTTCCAGCTACTTGGAAGACTGAAGCGGAAGGGTTGCTTGAGCCCAGCAGGTCAAGGCTGCGGTGGCTGGGAGTGTGCCACTGCCCTCCAGCCTGGGTGACAGAGTGAGACTCCAATTCAAAAAAAATGAATAAATAATATTAAAAAAATTAGTTTGTCAACTTTGCTCAGTAACAAGGATTGGAAAACATGAATGCTATCATAAGGAAGAAATATGTTCATCTAAAATATTAACAATTGTTCTTTTGGAGAGCTGGACTAATATTCACAATAACCTAAAGTCTTTTTAACATCTTCAGATGTAGATGAGCTTAAGCAGAACATTACGGCATGCTCATAACACGAAGTTAGAAGGCATTTTGAACAATTTCTGTCCTTCCTTTTCCTATGTAATTCTTCCAGCAGTCTTATCAATTAACATAAAACCACTTAGATTTATATAAAACCACTCAGTGCTTTGAACCTAGTATATGCTCGATAAATACTTACTTATTTGGTTATTCATTATTTCACTGCCAGAAAAAGAGATTGTCTATGCTGACGAGTCGAATACCCAGGAAATTAGGGGACAGAAATGAGATGCAACTGTCCGGTGTGAGTGTGTCCAACTAAAATAACTCTCGGCACATGTTTTGCAGATCGTGGATGGTAAAATGGCCAATGCTCGGATTACTGTTCTCATTGACAATGCCCAGATGGCAGTGAATGACTTCAGCCTCAAGTAGGTTCCTTCTTCACAGGGTTATGGGGTTTTTTGTTTGTTTTCTTTGCCAAAAAACCCAAAAAACAAAACAAAAACAAAAAGCCTCATCTTGCTATTACCCATATCTAAAAATCTTATACTTAAAAGACATAACAACCAAAAACTTAATGTGTGACCCTTGAATGGATTCTAACTTAACAAACCAGATATAAAACATATTTTATAGTACAAGGAAATTTGAATGTGCGTCAAGAATTAAATGACATTTTAAAGAGTTATTACTAATTTAGGTGCGATAATGTTATTATGTTTATTCAGGAAAAATCCCTTTCTTAAAAGATGCATTCCCAAGTATTTAGTGGTGAAGTGTCATCATGTCTATAATTTACTCTGAAATACACTAGTAATGAATATAGATAAAACTAATATGGCAAAATAAATATGGTTGCTAAGTCTAGGTGATGGGTGCATAGTTATTATTGTTCTATCCTCCCTATTCAATTTAAAATTTGACATTGAGTCACCATCATAGAAAAGCATAGCATGAAACAGACATATAAGTACATCCTGCATGTATTTATTCACTCTTGTTAAACCTAAAAAGTAAGAGAGTCACCTCTAAAATAAGATGCATCCTTTCAAAGACCATGACCTTCCAATGGCAGGTGCACTCTTCTCTTCCTTCTAACCAAAGGTATGAAAATGAACACTCCTTTAAGAAAGATTTGGAAATTGAGGTTGAGGGCCTCCGAAAGACCTTGGACAATCTAACCATTGTCACAACAGACCTGGAACAGGAGGTGGAGGGACTGAGGAAAGAGCTCATCCTCATGAAGAAGCGTCACGAACAGGTAGGACCCCACCCCCCGGGAATTCCCAGAGGTGAGCACAGCTCTCAGCCTGTTTGTTTCAGGGTCACACTATAGATGACACTACCATCTGGACGTCATTCCTGTTGTCCTTCAACCTAAGTAACCATTAAAAACATAGAAATAGCTAGTTTCTCCAATTTCAAGTTTATCTACTCACAAGTGAAATACAACAACCAAAACGCAATCATAATTCACAATGAATTGGCCAACAGTTTTGTTAACACACAATGTTTACCTAGATGTGTTTGTACGTATGATGCTCTAAGAATAAATGTGTGAAGCCAGGCATAGTGGTTCATGCCTGTAATCCTAGCACTTTGGGAGGTCGAGGCAGAAGGATCACTTGAGACCAGGAGTTCGAGATCAGCCTGGGCAACATAGTGAGACCCTGTCTCAAAAATATTATATATAATAATAATAATAGCATGAGATTGAACTTTCTTTACTGAGTCAGAGTGCAGCAAATTAGGATGTAATAGAATAAAAAGAATCTGCTACCAACCAAGATAAACGTGACTAGTGGTAAAAATTAAGAATTCTAATTTCCAGAAGCATAAAACTTACTTTCAAAGAGTTACCATCCGTCTCTGACACTCATAAAACGATAGAAAAACAATTCCCATTTTAGACAAACAAAATTGCTTCTGAACATCAAAGAGGCTGGTGTCTAAATAGCTGGTTAGACAATGATTGTTAATTAAACCTTTCCTGTGGTTGCTCCTATGGGAGTCAGCCCTAGAGAGTCATAAGCCATTGACAAGATTTTGAAAGCCTCTTCACCTTCTGACTTTTGTTTACTGAATGGCTTCCCAAAAACATTGCCTATCACTGCGAAGGTTCAACTGCTTAATAGCGTAGTTGCTTCATCAATGAATAGCAGCTAGAGAGGACTTTACACACTTTGTAAGCTTAATTCTTTCTGAAATATTTTCAGCCAGGGATTAAGTCAGTAATCACAGAGGCCATTTGATTACCTGCTTGTGCTAGCCTTTGTTTTATAAAATTATGACAGAAAAAAGGCATATAATGTTTGGCCATCCACAAGTGACAACTGAGAAACCAAAACAAACCAGTGAAAGCATAGCAACCACATAAGCTGAATTTTTTTTTTTTTTTTTTTTTTGAGTTGGAGTCTCACTCTGTTACCCAGGCTGGAATGCAGTGGCATACTCACAGCCACTCCAGCGTCGACCTGCTTGGCGATCCTTCCGCCTCAGCTTTCCAAGTAGCTGGAGTGACAGGCACATGCTACCATGCCCAGCTAATTTTCTGTTTATTGTAGAAACAAGGTTTCATCAAGTTGCTGGGCTGGTCTCGAACCCTCAGGCTCAGGCAAGCCACTCGCCTCAGCCTCTCAAAATGCTTGGAATACAGGCTGAGCCACCGAGTGCAGCCAAGCTGAATTTTTTAAAAAATTCATTTACTGCTGCCAACCAACACAGCAATCCAGCCTCCTGGTTGTCACAGCCGGCTCATTTTCTTGCTTTGTTATTAAACAGGAATTGAAAGAGCATCATGTGCCAAATGACTTCAAGGTCAATGTGAAGGTGGATACAACTCCAGGGGAGGATCTGATTAAGGTCCTGGAGGAAATGAGGCAGGAATATGAGTTTATAATAAAGAGGAAGCATCGAGACTTGGACACTTGGTATAAAGAGCAGGTAAAAACTTCCGAACTTCCAAAGGCTGCATTTACTTGGGGTCCGAACTTCTAAATCCTGCGTTTCCATGGTGTCCCAATGCTGATGCCTCTCTCTGCCTTGCTTGGTCTCACAGTCAGCAGCCGTGTCCCAGGAGGTGGCCACTCCGGCTGCTGTGCAGACCAGCCAAGGTGACATCCACGAGCTGAAACGTACGTTCCAGGCCCTGGAGATTGACCTGCAGACGCAGCACAGCAAGGTGAGTCAGGGCTGGGAAAAACCCACAGAGCCTTCCTTGATCTCTCTCCTGGGCCCCAACTAACTCACCAGCACCCTTGGGACATCTCTCACTCTCCACGTTCCATCCAAGTTGTTCATCACGGAAATGCTAATAAAAACCACCATGAATCAAGTGTCCAGAGGGTGCCAGGCACATCAAATGTCGTTAATCCTCATATTACTTTCCAGGTAGGTCTTACTGTGTCCTCGTTTTAGAGATGAGGAAACCAAATCTTCAACAGTTTAGTAAATTGGACAAGGTCATACAGCTAGTAAGTGAGCAGTGGTGAAACCATGTGATGTTTGGGAAGGTTCTAGACTTCCATGCTCTCTATCAGTGTCCTCTTCACTTACAACTAGGCTGCCCCTCAAACCCCTATACAGAGAAATTCTGGTGCCAACATGGTAGGTGGCCAATCCAGGCCTGGCTAACTCCAAAGTACTACTCTGTTCATTATATATGTGTCTTGTCACCCAAAGAACTATAAGTTCTTGTGTCCAAGTCATTTCTATCATCTTCATGTTTCAGGAAAATACAAATGTCATAAGCATTCAAGATTCAATAAATTCATTCATTCATCTATCATTAGATTCCCTTTGTCCACGAAAAGTAATCAAAAGGAGGTAAAGAACACTTCAGAGCAGCGGTTGCCCCATCCCAAATGAGTAGCAAAGACAATAAATGCTAACGAGTGCAACAGAGTTGCCAAGAGCTCCCTGATAACAATGGTTTTATGCCCAGAAAATGGGCTTCCCAAGTCCCAACACTGCTCAACTCCTGACTGCCCAAGCCCCAAACCTATGTCATTCTATTTCTCATGTTGTTGTCCCTGGTAGCCACCAAGACACCCAACCGAGTGGTCAGCATATGATAAGTACTCAACAAGCACGTGTCATTGACTCAATCAGGCCATCAGTCAATGAGCAAACGAAATATCATTTCCTCTTGCAGAAATCTGCTTTGGAAAACATGTTATCAGAGACTCAGTCTCGGTACGCCTACCAGCTCCAGGACATGCAAGAGATCATCTCCCACTATGAGGAGGAACTGACACAGATACACCATGACCTGGAGCGTCAGATCAAAGAGTACGAGGCGCTCCTGGGCATGAAAACCCACCTAGAGAAGGAAATCTCCACTTACCGCCAGCTCCTGGAGGGAGACAGCGAAGGGTAAGGCAAAGTCTGGCCCAAGGGGAGGGTGCAGTGGGCATCTGGCTCTGGTGGGTGTATTCGTATATCCTGTGGGTTCTGTTAGCAATTAGCAATAGAGAAAGAAAGCTTCATTCCAAATTCCTCCAAAAGGTATCTACATGAGGTTGTGTTTTATTAAGCAGCGAATATGAATTAATTAGCTCATACTCCCAGGACAATGAGACTTGGAGTTAGACCATTTAAAACAAGTATGTTAATATTGCCTGAGAGAAGCAACTAAGAAGGTTTTGACTATTGTGTTTCTCAGTAGGAATACACAGAATTTTGGCTGAAAACAAAAAAAAGAAGGCAAGGGGAATGTTTTAGCCTATCAGCTGTAAGAGATTCATAAGAGCTGTCTAAATTTTCAATCAAATATTTCTGGCCACCCCAGGAAATAACAATAGCTGGCCATTTATATAAAAAGCACATATATTCTATGACCCAAGAGAAAGGGTTAGAAGTTTTTTTCAATGCATAAATAGAACATATTTGGATCAAACTTTGAAAAGCCAGAAGCTCAGGGGTCCCAGGTTTGAGATCCAGACCCGGGAAGGGATCCTGGTAGAGGCAAATCCTGCAGCTAGCTAAAAGGACAAGATGATTTGGTGAACTTCCCCTGACCCTAGGGTTAGCAGGTCACTGCCTTTTGGATCCAGGAGTGTTCTCCCATGAACTCATGACCTTGGGACTACTGAGTTCTGACAATTATCCTCATTAAAGAGGTGAGAATTTACAAGCAGGCAAAGGAAGTTAGTTCATTCTGAGAAGTTTTTATGATTGTTGCTAATACTACAGTAAGTTTTAACCTTTATCTCTTTTGCAGGACAATGGAAGAATCCAAGTCGGGCATGAAAGGTAAAAACAAACAAAATTTTCACTTTTAAACCATTTTTTAATGAAACAGTATGTTTTTTCATTCTGCAGTAATCATAATCTTTAGTGTATTCCCAAATGTCATGTGTTCAAAATATATTTCACCCCCCAAGTGGCCAGAAATTTTCAATTAACCAATTAGGTAATATAAAAAGAAGTGAACTCTCATTATTGGCCTCAATATATAGGAACGCTCTCTGTAAGCAGTAGAGAAGATTAAAATGACAATTAATTGTATTAGTTCTCTATTAAGTAATGTAGTCTGTTTATTAAACCCCTGGGAAATTAAGAGACATGATTTCATGTCGTTTCCCAAACTCTATTCCGTTAAACACTAGTATTCCAAGAGACTCAAATAGTGTATTATGACAGATGTGTTCTATGTCCAGATAACATTGGAAATACTATGTGCCATTATCCTCTTTAACAGTCATGTCACGTTTTGGGCTGTTAGAGATAGAACAAGTTCTGCTTTGATAAAGAAAAGGAACAAGAAAGATAAACAGTGACAAAAGTCTTCCTTTGTTTAATCCAGTATTCCCAAATACATTTGAGCTGGGAAACTTATTTCCTCAGATTACGTTTATCTCACAGAAAAGTTCCAAGAGACACAGTCTGGGACAAGTGGCACTTTCTGATTACTTAGTAGTAAAACTGTTCTAAGGCATTAGAGATTCAAAGAATCCGTGTTAGCTTAATCATCACAGAACAGTTGATCTAACCACTATCCCTCCACAAGATATGACAGATGGTCTGTGAGGTTCTCTTTTCACATGTCTGAGAATGGGGAACCCATTACTTAGTGGGATGGCCCCATCTACTGTTGGGGAGCTTTGCTGTTAACAAAGTTCTCTCTTATATCTCTGTCAATGACTTCAATTTTTCCCTGTGGTCTAAAATTGGTTTACTGATGTATCAACAAGGCACTTGTTCAAATAAGTCATATCTTTGAAAACAGTCACAACAAACATCCCTGGCTTCTTACCCAACCCTCATGCAGCACACCTTCTAGGTCTTAAAACAAGGTGCCACAAGTGGCATTTAGTGCTCCCTCAGGTCATAGACTCTGTGGTGCACGTGTCACAAAAGCCACACGTACACAATGGGCTTGTTGAGTGGTTGTGGTCAGAGATTAAATTCTGCATCAGGCACACCTAAAATAAAGGTCTTAATCTCCTTACAGTGACACTACTCAGGGCCCTTTATCTCCTAGAGAGTAGGAGGAAAAACCCTCTTTGATGAGATCCCTTTTTACTACCACAAAGCCGGCCATACTGCTTGGTGATCATTTTGGAAGGCATGAAAAGCCTTCAGGACTGAGGGCAGGGAATTGAAACTAAGAACAGTTCAGGTGGTGGAGAGAGCATGGCAGTGATCTCTTCCGTGCTCTTTTTCTCAGCGTCTGCAGCTCCAAAGATCAAGGCCATCACACAGGAGAGCGTCAATGGAAGGATAGTTCTTTCTCAAGTGAATGAGATCCCAAAATACATGTGAGACCAAAGTTTCTGCCTATTGTAAAGACGATTTTCCCCCAATGAAAAGTCCTTGCCAGACACTAATGAATAAGGCCTAAAAGGTGTCCTTGGAGTTATCAGACTCAGAAACTTTTACATTTTTCTCTGTAATCATCTCACCAGACTTCCCATAATGCTCTTAATGTACTGTACTTTTTGAATCAAAGTATGAGTGTATGAGTTTAAAGTTCTACTTCCCTACTATAATGTTCAGATTCCCATCATTACACTTCTGTTTTGTAGTCAATAAAACTCCACACCAACTGCACCATGTCTTTTTTTGTATCATAATGCAAGACTACAACTCAAGGTCTCACCCTAATGAGGGGTTCTCAGAGCATTGTCCCTGAAGGATCTAGAGGGATCTCGTTGCTTCAGACATGTCCACAGCAGTCAAACACTTGGCAGAGTTGTCACCCTGAAACCGCATAACCTAGGTGTGAGACACAATTTAGGAGTCTGCTCTCCAGACTTCTGCCAGAAGGAAGGGAGAAAGAGAAACAGAGAAAAGGGGCCCCAGAAAATTTCAATGGAAGTGTGAGGTGGCCAAAATTAATTCTACCTCACTTTTAAAAAGAAAAACCATCTGAAAGTCCTAAAGAAAAATGTAAAGGTAAAAAGGAGATTTTTAAAAATCATCATTCCAGACAGATACTAAGACCCCCAAAGGGGAAGTGACTTATCTAAAATCCACACTGCAAATATTAGGATCCAGAGTATTATGTTGAGCTGTAGTAGGTGACTACACCACTGAGACTATTTTTTTTTTTTTAGTTGGAGTCTCACTCTGTTGCCCAGACTGGAGTGCAGTGGCCACT